TGTGTGTGTATATATATATATATATTTGTCCCAGTAAAGTGGTGCATCTGGTGGCAAACTGTCAGCAATGCTGGAAGCAATGTGGCTAACTGCAGGTTCAGATCACCAGGCTGGCTTGAAAACATACTGAATGTTCTGAGTGTGTGTTTGGCTGTGTGTGTGTGTGTGTGCACGTGCACGTGCACACCCAGAGTCCTGATGAACTAGAAGACCAGGGAAAGGGAACTACAGTGTGAGACCTTGTCAAGGTTGCCTCTCTCTCCCATGTGTGCACACACACTATTATAAATAAAAAAATACTTAATATTATTTATTGCTAAAGTATGTTAATGATCATCTGAGCCTTTTTTTTTTTTTTGAGAGGTTTTTCACTATAGGGCGCATGCGCTCACTAGACAGACAGAGACAGAGAGACAGAAAGCAAGAAATCAACCCCCAGAGGGGCTGGCCACGCCGCAATCCCTTCTCCTCCATTCTCCTCTCGGGATCTTGGGCATGCACGCACACGCGCCCGGCGTGGGTTTTAAGCCACCGGGTCCAGGACGCGAACCGTGGTCGACTAAGTGGGAGTCCAGCGACATAGCCATTACGCTAACTGCTGGTTCCCATGATCATCTGAGCCTTCAGAGTCACGGTCTTGCCTTGATGTTGATGGCTGCTGAATGACCAAGGTGGCGGTTGCTAAATGTTGGAGTGAAGGTGGCAATTTCTTTTTTCTTTTTTTCCATAGGGTGGGTGTGCGCCCCAGGAAGAGATAGATAGAGAGATGAGGAAAATGAGAAATCACCCCTCAGGGGGGATGGCCATGTTTCAAGTGTGGGGAAGGATTGGAGCAAAGCATGACCTAGTTGACAATACTTGTATATCTCTTGGAATTTTGGACATGTGTGCATAACATGCCCAGCATGTCTTTCAGGCCGCTGGGTCTGGGACACAAACCATGTGGGATCCAAGAACCTTCATTACCATGACACTTGCTCTCTCTGGAAATTTCTTAAAATAAGAGGACAATGAAGTTTGTTTTATCATTGACTCTTCTTTCATGAAAGATTTCTTTGTAGTATGTTTGGTAACATTTTATTCACAGAACTTTTTAAATTAGATTTAATCCTCTCAAACCTGCCACTGTTTTATCAACTAGGTTTATGTAAAATTCCAAATTCTTTGTCACTTCAACAACGTTCATTGCATATTCACCAGGGGTAGATTCCATTCAAGAAACCATTTTCTTTGCTCATCCATAAGAAACAAGTCCTTATCTGCTTTATCCTGAGACTCCAGCAATTCAATTACACGTTCAGACTTCACATCTAGTTCTCTTGTATTTCTACCCCATCTATAGTAGTATTACTGAAGTCTTGAACTCCTCAAAGTCATCCATGAGGGAGCCCAGCTGTGGTGGTATAGGCAGTACGGAGCCACTACATGATACTGGAGCTGTAGGGAAGGCCTGGATTGGGAAACCAGGACCACCTGCCTGTTGGGTGTGCCCACATGTGTCTGTGATCCTGACTGGGGAAGGATTGCAGCACAGCAAGACTCTGTTCATGGTACTTGTATCTCTCTCTCTCTCTTATGAACAAAACTAAAAATAAAATCATGAGGGTTGGAATGAACTCTTTTAAATGTTGATATTTTTGACCAATCATGAGTCATAATTTTTTATTTCTCTCTCGAGTAAGAGAGACACTGAGACATCACTCATAATAGGGTCTGATGACATGATCCACACCCAGCTTTATCTAACCCTTAATTATGGGCACATGCATGCCTGGTGTACTCAGGGAGGTCTCCAGACATGAATCTGGGACCTTCCCAAGGGAGTCAGCCTTGGAGAGTGCCATGTTCCACTGCTTGGCCACTATTTGGTTCCCATGAGTATCAGTGGAATCTAGAATGGTGAACCCTTTTGAGGTTTTCAATTTATTTAGTCCAGATCCATGGGAAGAATCACTATTTGTGGAAGTTATGGCCTTACACAATGTATTTTAAAAATGTTAAGACTTGAATATTGCAATTACTCTTTGATCCATGCATGGGCTACAGAAAGGATGTTAGAAGGTATGAAAACATTTATGTCCTTGGATATTTCCATCAGTGCTCTTCGGTGATCAGGCACATTGTCAAGGAGCAGTAATATTATGAAATATTTCTTTCTGAACAGGAGATATCAACAGTGGGCTTAAAATATTCAACAAACCATTCTATAAACAGATAGGCTGTCATCCAGACTTTGTTATTCAATTTATAGAGCACAGGCAGAGTAGATTTAGCTTTAATTAATTTTTATTTTTATGCCAGAGGGCACATGCACTTGAGTAAGAGAGAGAGAACCCCTACCCATAGGGATGTGGTCATACTGCAGTCCTTTTTCCTCTTCATCCCACCAGAATTTTAAGCATGTATATATGCTTGGTATGTTTTTAAAGCTGCCAGGGCTTGGGTTTGAACCTGTCATGTGGGATCTGACTTGCTATGCACAGGGCTTCACTACTGGCTCAAAATTCTTGGGGGAATGACACATGGCTGACCATTGGTTTGAGTCCCAGGTCCAGTGGCTTGAAACTCATGCTGGGGGCCTGTGCATGCATGCCCCAAATCCCAAGAGAACAGAGAAGGGATTGTGGCATGGCCACCCTCCCGGGGGGTGATTTCTCACTTTCTCTATGTCTCTGGTGAATTCATGTGCCCTATAGCAACAATCTCTCTCAAAAAAAGAATTTTACCCTTTCTTATACTTTTCTTACAAATTCAAGGATTTTTGATATAATAAAAAAGCACTGGCTTCAACTTAAAAGTAACTCACTGCATTAGGTCCTTACAAGAGTTGGTCTGTCCTTTGAAGATTTTTTTTTTTTTTGAGAGATTTTTCACTGTAGGGCGTGTGCGCTCGCCAGACAGACAGAGAGAGACATAGAGACAGAAAGCGAGAAATCACCCCCCAGGGGGGATGGTCACGCCGCAATCCCTTCTCCTCCATTCTCCTCTCGGGATCTTGGGCACGCACGCGCACGCGCCCGGCGTGAGTTTCAAGCCACCGGGTCCGGGACACGAACCGCGGTCGACTACGTGGGAGTCCAGCGACATAGCCATTACGCTAACTGCTGATTCCCTGTCCTTTGAAGATTTGAGGTAAGGCACTGACTTCTCTCTGGCATGAAAGTCCGAGATGGTATCTCTTTCTAGCTGTTTTGTCTCCATCGGAAATCTGTTCGGGATAGCCACCTTCATCAGTTATCTTTACCAGTCTTCTGGATAACTTACTGCAGCTTCTACAGCAGCACTTGTTTCTTTCCTTGAGCCTCATGAACCTCTGCTATTTTCAAACTTTTCTTCGGCAGCTTCTTTACTCCTTGGTCTCAGAGAATTGAAGAGTTAGGCTTAGCTGTGGGTTAGGCTTTTGTTTAAAGGAATGTTGCAGCTGGTTTGATCTCTATCCAGACCATTAAAACTTTATTTGTATCAGCACTAAGACTGTTTTACTTTGTTATCATTCATGTGTTCACTGTAGTAGTACTTTTTTTTTTTTTTAATAAATATTTTACCTTTTTTTTTGAGAGGTTTTTGCTATAGGGCGTGTGCACTCGCCAGAAAGAGAGAGACAGAAAGCGAGAAATCACCCCCAGGGGGGATGGCCACTCCACAATCTCTTCTCCATTCTCCTCTCGGGATCTTGGGCATGCACCCCCATGTGCCCGGCCTGAGTTTAAGCCACGGGATCCAGGACTAGAACAGAGGTCGACTACATGGGAGCCCAGTGACGTAGCCATTATGCTATCAGCTGGTCCCTATTTACTTATTTTTTAATTTGACCACAGACAGACAACGAAAGAGGGAAAGTGAGAAAGCAAGCTGCCAGGTTCGAGGTTCAAACCGTGGTCAGTCATGAAGGAGCCTAGCACCTTAATCATCGCACCACTTGCTGGCCCGAGTAATACTTTTAATTTCCTTTAAGAACTTCTCTTTTACACTCATAACTGGGCTAATTGTTCAGTGAGAGAAGCCTAGCTTTCAGTCTATTTTGGCTTTCACCACGTCTTCCACGCTAGACTTAACAGTTCCTGATTTCAAGTGAGAGATGTGTGATGTTCCTTTTGCTAGAACGGTATTGTAAGGTTTTTTAATTGGCTTAATTTCACTATTATTGTGTCTCAAGGAATAGGGATCCCAAGGAAAGGGAGAGAAATGAGGTGTGAAGGTGGAGCAGCCAGAACACAACATTTATCCATTAGGTTCACTGTGTTATGTGGGTGCAAGTTATAATATCTCAAAGCAATTACAATCATAACACCAGTGATCACAGATCACAATAACAGACATAATGAAAAAGTTCAAAATACTGCAACAATTACCAAAACATGACACAGGAACATGAAGTGAGCATATACCATTGAAAAAAAAATGGCAGTAACACACTGGCTCTATGCAGGGCTATCACAAACCTTTGATTTGTAAACAATGCATTATCTGGGAAGTGTAATAAAACAAAGTATGCCTGTAAAAAGAAATACTGGGTCATCTAAAAAGTCATAACACATTTTTGTGTAGAAAAATATTGAAAAACACCTTGACTTTTGTGATGACCCAATAATTCTTCCTTTTTGTGTCTTATCTGATACTTTTACCCTTGTACTATTTTTTACTGTATTTATTTATTTATATGTTTTTCTCTGCTACCATAATGTAAATTTCTTGAGGGCAGAAATGTATCTTCTTAAATATGTCCTATAAACTTAATAAATATTGAACAAATCGATACAAAACAATGATCATCAAATTATGTAAGCAATCATCTAAACATCTGATTTATAAAAAAATGCAATGAGTTTAAAAAATAAAAAGATACAAGTTTTTAAATGAAACAAACATTTTCAAAACAGCATTGAAAAGTAAATGTACTTGACCATACTCAGCTCATTACACAGCACATAGGTGGACAGAGAAATAATTCATGACAAACAGCATGTTTAATGAACTGGCAACAGAGATATTTGGTCAAAGAAAGGCAGAGGAACTTTGTCTTTTAATAATTAGAACCGAGGGGCTCCATAATCATCTGGCATCCGCTCAATGTTGTATCTATCAAGACAAAAAATTAATGCTGGTAAGAAAGGTGCATATACAGCCCATCTAAAACTTGCCCTCCATTGGCTTAAACACTCTCGTGTCCACTGAGAATCCTTTCTGTCAATAGAATATTTTAGAGGGACATCATAATAAATGGTTTACAGCAAACCTGACAATAATGATAACATCTTTACTCTTCACAGTTGCATAGTTAGCAAGCTGGAGAGCCAGATTCTGAGTCCAGGTTAGCCTGACTCCTTAGCCTATGTTTTTCACAATATGCTATGCTCTCCCCAATAAAGTTGGATAATAGTCTAAAGCCTTTCATGGAAAGATCTAGGGCTGATTAGGAAGAGCTTTTGCAGGAACCAGCAGTTAGCATAATGGCTATGTCGCTGGATTCCCACGTAGTCAACCACGGTTCGCATCCTGGACCCGGTGGCTTAAAACTCATGCTGGGCGCGAGTGCGTACGTGCCCAAGATCCCGAGAGGAGAATGGAGGAGAAGGGATTGTGGCGTGACCATCCCCCCTGGGGGGTGATTGCTTGCTTTCTGTCTCTGGTCTCTCTCTGTCTGTCTGGCGAGCACACGCGCCCTATAGCGAAAAACCTGTCCAAAAAAAAGGAAGAGCTTTTGCATCTTTAGAGGCTTTTAGTACTCCAGATGAGGTACTAATCAAAAAAGTTATCTTTCAAAAAAGAACAGTAAAAAAACATACTTTAAAAAAGATTTCAGGGACCAGCAGTTAGCATACTGGCTATGTCGCTGGATTCCCATGTAGTCGACCGCGGTTTGAGTCCCGGACCTGGTGGCTTAAACTCACGCTGGGCCATGTGCATGTGTGCCCAAGATCCCAAAAGAATGGAGGAAAAGGGATTGCGGCATGGCCATACCCCCTGGGGGGTGATTTCTCACTTTCTGTCTCTCTGTCTCTCTTGTCTTTCTGGCAAACGCACACGCCTATAGCAAAACTCCTAAAAAAAAAAAAAAAAAGATTTCAGACCAACTGGTGGCATGGTGAAGGCGGCTAGATTCCACATGGCTGATTGTACAATTCCTGGACCCAGTGGCTTGAAAAACATGATGGGCACGTGTGCATGCATGTATGCCCAAAATCCTGAGAAGAGAATGGAGAAGGAATTGTGGCATGGCCATTCCCTCAGGGGGAGGGGGCGCTTTCTCACCTTCCCCCCCCCCTCTCTGGCAAGCGCATACTCCTTTATAGAAAAATTTAAAAAAAAGAAAAAGAAAAAGAAAAAAGCTATTATTGGACATAAAAAAAAGAAAAAGAAAAAGAAAAAAGTTATTATTGGCCAAAAAGATTAGCTTAATCTAAATTATTCCTTGTATTTACAGCAGTATATATCTCTATTTATTTTAGTAATCTTGTAACAATATAAGTATTTGTATTTGCCTCATTCCTAAATCCTACCTTTATTTTTCACCTTTGTTTTTTGTTTTGTTTTGTTTTTGAGAGGTTTTTGCTATAGGGCGTGTGCGCTCTCCAGAAAGACAGAGGGAGACAGAAAGAGAGAAATCACCCCCCAAGGGGGATGGCCATGCCACAATCCCTTCTCCTTCATTATCCTCTAGGGATCCTGGGCATGCATGCATACGTGCTGGGGGTTGAGTTTAAGCCACTGGGACCGGGACTCAAACCGTGGTCAACTACATGGGAATCCAGTTATGTAGCCATTACACTAACTTCTGGTCCCTCACCTTTGTTCTTGCTACTTTGGGTTAGTTCTTCAAATATAAGTTAAATGTTTGATAAAATAGTTTCTTTCAAATCCTTGTATAACTTTATAACCTCTTTCTTTCTTCTTCTTTTTTTTTTTTTAATTTGTTACAAGGTGAATGTACTTAACAGAAAAGATACAAAAAGTGAGATGAAGAGAAAGTGAAAAAACCCTCTGGGGAAATGGCCAAGCCACAATCCCTTCTCCATTTTCCTCTTAGGATTCAGGGCACGTCCACACACAACTGGTAATTTTTTTTGGGGGGAGAGGTTTTTGCTATAGGGCATGTACACTCGCCAGAAAGAGACAGAGAGATAGTGAGAAATAACTCCACAGGGGGGATGGCCACACTGCAATTCCTTCTCATCCATTCTCCTCTTGGGATCTTGGGTATGCATGCACACGTGCCCAGCTGAGTTAGAGCCACTGGGTCCAGGACTCAAACTATGGTCGATCACATGGGAGTCCAGTGACATAGCCATTACGCCATCTGTTGGTTCCCACAACTGGTATTTAAAAAATACTTTTCTTAAAGAGGTTTTTGCTGTAGGGTGCATGCGCTTGCCAGAAGGACAGAGCGAAACAGAGTCAGAAAGAGAGAAATCACTCCCCAGGGGGGATGTCCACGCTGTAATCTCTTCCCCTCCATTCTCCTCTCGGGATCTTGTATGGGCATGCACATACATGCACCCAGCATTGAGTTTAAGCCACTGGGTCTAGGACTTGAACTGTGGTCGACTACATGGAATCCAGCAACATAGCCATTACACCAACTGTTGGTCCCTAAAAACATTTTTTTAAAGAACTGTTTATTTTATGTGTTTGCCAGAGAGAGAGAAGGACAGAAAGACAGAAATCAAGTACCCACCAGGGGGGATGGCCGTGACATAATCCCTTCTCCATTCCACTCTTGGGATCTTGGACATGCACACACATGCACCCAGCGAGAGTTTTAAGCCACCAGGTCTGGGACTCAACCATGTAGGAGTTCAGCGAAGTAACCATTACGCCATCTGCTGGTCCCACACCTGGTATGTTTTTCAAGTCCCAAAGGCATGAACTGCCATGTAGGATCCAACCACCTTAACCATCAGCTGGCCCACCTGACCTTGTTTTGTTTTTGTTTTTAATTATTTATTTGATTTCGGGGCCAGGAGGTGGTGGCATGATGGCTAAGGGTGCTGGATTTCCACATGACTGACTATAGTTTGAGTTTCAGACTTGGTGGTTTGCTTTCTTACTTTCCCTTTCTCTCTCTCTCTGGTCAAATTAAAATAATAATGCTAATTATAATACCAAATGCAATTAAATAAATAAATAATTCTTTAAAAAATTATTTGATTTTAGGGCCAGCAGGTGGCATGGTAGTTAAAGATGCTGGATTCCCACATAGCAGACTATGGTTCGAGTCCTGGACCTGGCGACTTGCTTTCTCACTTTCCCTTTCTCTTTCTCTGTCTGGTCAAATTAAAAAATAATAACAAATGGAAATAAATAAATAAATCATTCTTTAAAAAATATATTTGATTTTATTATAATCATCGTCATAATTATATATTTTAATTTGATAAAGGGATGAGACAGAGAAAGTGAGAAAGCAAGCTGCCAGGTCTGGGACTCAAACCACAATGAGCCATGTGGGAGTCCAGCACCTTAACCACTACACCACAGGCTGGATCCAGTCTCGTTTTTAATTTAAATCAAGTACCTACTTTTTATCACTTCCCCAAGAGAAATTTCTCACCTATGATTAGAAATGTACATGATAGGAACTCCTGGGATCTTCCGGATTCTTCGTTTAAGGTCTCGGTCAACTGTGGCCACGATGTAACACTTGTGCTATAAGAAAAACAGATTGATGCTTACATAGAACTGATTGAGTACACTTAGTCATTACTGGGTAATGGCAAAACCATGGACTAGTCTGAAGAATCATTCATTTGTATGGCAAATAACAAAGGAATTTGTTGAGTAGCTACTATGATCTAGGAGCTCATATTCACAAAATATTTAACAAGTTACCTGGGCTGAATGTAGCCCTAAGAATCTTGAGGGGAAGAAAGTTAAAAAAAAACTATCTACAAGCTGAAAACTGTTTTCTGTCTCAGAAGTGGAAGGAACTTCTACATTTGGCATAGATAATTCCTTTGTTGCTTGTATAAGGCCCTATGCAAGTATTACGTAAACTGATTTAGATTGGAGGCACTGTTCTCTCCTTCCCCTTGGGCATGCTCTGAGGCCTCCGAGTGGTCAAGGTAGACTATCCCCTGGGTCAGGAAGCCAGAACAGATCTCCAGGACCTAAAGCTAGAAATTAGTAGCTCTGAAAGTATTAACATGTAACTGTTGGCTGGAAGCCATTTTATGTGGTACTTTACTTTTTACTTTCTGTCATATCCACATTTCCCATTAGGTTTCATCCAAAGCTGTAGTATGGTGTTAGCCACGCTATGGGGAATTAAGGGAAATGCTGGTGCACTCATGGGGTGAAATGGCTATAGGGCTGACAATGTGGTCATCAGATGAAGATTATCTTTTAGCAGAGAGAGGCTTTTATAAGAGTGGGCAGTAGAAGTTTTTGTGGTGCTTGACAAGGAGGCCAGAAGAAAAGAATCAAAAGCCTGCATATTACAGGGTATTTGTAAGACAGTACCCCAGGAGCCGCTTAGAAACCAAGAAACACCTTCGGTTAAGGCATGGTAGATAGGGACAAAAATCCCTGCATCAGCAGTAAATGGAAATAGAACCTTATTTTAGATTTACAGGGAGGTAGAATCTGATATAGTATGTCTACATTAACCTACTTCAATTATTTTATGGAGATTTGTGGAATAAACCGTACGATTTCCAAAGGGTTATAAACAGTATGAATCTTAAATCCAGTTTCCCAAGTCAATGAGGATGCCTATGCTTCTTAGAAGAAAATATGTAATTTTCTTTACCATTTATATTCTTATATATTTTATTGACCCTAAAACATTCAGGAAATAGCGGTTTACTTTTTTTTTTTTTTTCCTAAAGCACAAAGCAAACATTTAAAAACTGATGATACCTGAGTTACTCTCTGTACTAAGCAGTCATCTGCATAGGTTCCTTTATGTGTGCATGGTAATCGTTCAAATCTTGGATCCTTAGCAATCCTGTAAGGTTATAGAAGTAGATTAAAGAAACTATTCAAGCAATTAGACATCTTTCTGAGTCTCGATCAGTGAAGTAAAAGTAACATGATCTAAGTGCAGACTGTAAGGCACTCCTTTCCTCCTACAGCTTCTCCTTTAACTAGAAAGACAACTTACAAGGAAGGGAATTATAGTTTACTGACTGACAGCTGGAGTGTCTTGGTAGCTAATCATCACCAAACTCTTGAGCTATTTTACTGTATTTCCATTTTATAGATAATTATGCAGGTTCAGAGAGGTTAATTTGTTCAAAGCTACACACAGCAGGAAAAAAAATAAAAACAGAATTCAAAATCGATTTTTTTTTTTTTTTAGGTTTTTGCCGTAGGGCATGTGTACTCACTGAGAGAGATGGGGAGAGACAGAGGAAAAGTGAAAAATCACCCTACGAGGGGGATGGCCATGCCTCAATCCCTTCCCCTCCTGGTATTTTGGGCATGCACATGCGCCCAGTGTGATTTGCAGGCCGCCAACTATGAGACTCAAAATTGAGGTCGGTCAAGTGGGAGTTCAGTGCCTAATTCACCACACCACCTGCTGGCTCCCAAACTAAATCAATTTTAACCCAAGCATTTCACCTTTAGAAAGTTTTTTTACTAAAAAAATGTAGGAGTATAGGAGCAAGGACAGTCATTACAGCATAGTTCATAATGATGAAAACATAGAGATAATCTAAATATCCAAACAAGATAAAAGTTAAACACATTCTGGGGGCCAGCAGTTCACATGGAGATTAAGGTGCTGGACTCCCACGTGGCCGACTGTCGTTTGAGTCTCAGACTTGGCAGTTTCAGAATCACACCAGGTGTGCGTGTGAGTGTGTATCAAAATTGCAAGAGGAGAATGAGGAAGAAGGGACTGTGGCACGGCCATCTCTCCTGAGGAGTGATTTCTCAATTTTCCTCTGTCTCTCTCCAGTGAATGCATACACCCTATGACAGAAAGTTATATAAAAAAAAAAGTTAAATACATATTTGAGTCCTTAACCTATTTAACAAAAGAGGAAGAGCTGTATGCATGAATGTGGAAGGACTTATACTAAATTACTGAATAAACAAAGCAGGTCAATGAATAATACAGTTTGCTTTCATACTCATGGGTTCTGTATTTGTGGGTTCCACATTGTAGATTCAACCACTGTGGGCGTAGCCAGGTCACAACTGTTATGAAAGAGGTGGCTCACTAAAAGCGACGTGCTGGGGCCATTAGATGGTATGGTAGTTAAGGTGCTGGACCCTTCATGGCCAACTCTAGTACGAGTTGTGGACCTGCTGGCTTGAAAAACACACTCAGCAGTGTGTGTGTGTGTGTGTGCCCATATACCAAGAGGAGAATGCAGGAGAAGGGACTGTGGTGTAGCTATCCTCCTTGGGGGATGATTTCTCACTTTCCCTCTCTTTCTGTCTCTCTGGTAAGAGTACACGCCCTATAGCAAAAAACCTAAAAACAAAACAGAACAAACCAAACCAACCAAAACACAAAAAAAGCAAGAGGCTGAAGAAGTTTATATATTTTCTTTTCAACTTATAGCTGATGCAAAAATTACTTATAAGTGACCTAGAGATGAATGGGAAGATGTGGATAGGCTACCTGGTTCTGGAACTAACTCCCAGATATGAGGGACAGGTATACATATAGAATATCATTCAATGAAAAAAGAATATGGGGGGGGCCAGTAGGTGGCATAGTGATTGTGACTGGACTGGACTCCCACATGGCTGACCAAGGTTTGAGTACTGAACGGCAGCTTGGAAATCATACCAGCCACATATGCATGCATGCGCAAAAGTCATAGGTGGAGAATGGAGGGGAAGGGATTATAACATGGCTGTCCTCCTTTGGGGTGATTTCTCATTTTGTCTGTCTCTCTTCAGTGAGCACAAGTGCCCTTTGGGGGTAAAAAAAAACAAAAAAACCCCACAGGAGCCAAGTGGTAGTACAATGGTAATGCAACTGAATCCACAGAGCAAAGACCCTGGGTTTGCATCCCAGGACCTCCGTGAGCTACCTGAGTGCACTTGCACATATCTGTGATCCAGGCTATGGATCAGAATATGACACCCCTATTGGGAATGCCTGTCTGTCCATCTGTTTCTCTCTCTTATGGAGGAAATAAACACAAAAACAAAAACTCTCTTTCATACTCCTTCTTTAGATTTTCATTTGCATTGAAAAAAGTCTGTGAAAATATATACTAACCTTTTCAGTTGTCACTTTGGGAAGAGATTGGAGAAAATGTGAATGTGGAAAGGGACTTTTATTTTTTATTATATGTATATGTTTACATTGTTTCCATAAAAACTCAAACATACTATTTTCATAAAAACGTGAAGAAGAGCGCCAAGTCTGTGATTTCTAGTCATGCTCTTTCTATTACATAATGGTGATGACTCACTGGAGCATGTAGGTACCAAGTACAACATAAATACATTGCAGGAGTTCAGTGCTAGGTCAGTGTGGGTTGAGAATATTTAGGGGAAAAAATGACATGGAGATGAAACAAAATGAAGATAAAAAATGTGCTACACAGTGAGGGCAGAGATGCTGTAGATGGGGTATCAGCCTTCTATAAAATGGTTTGCTGGTGTCTGGGGAAAAGTGAGCAAATCTTTCACCTGGGAGAAGAGTGTTTGTGGAGAGGAGAGTGAAACAGGGCTGGACAGAGTCTCTGGCACCAGGCTAAGGAGTGTGAGCCTCTTGACAAGGGTGATAGGGAGTCATTAAATATTTCAAGGGACAGAGTGACATGAGCCAAGCTCCAACATGGAAAGACTGAACAGGTTGTGGTGAGGATACACAAGAAGGAAGATCGGCTGCTGAGTAACTAGGCAAGCAGTGGTCTAGGACTTTGCTCTTCTGGTTATCTCTACTGCTGAAATCATTTATCACTTCCTTTCTACTGGCTCTTAGAAACATGCTTTGTACCTCCCACATCATTAAAAAAAAAACAAAAAAAATCTTTTACTTACACCCTCATTGAGCTAACACTCCATTTCTGTTTCTCTTCACTAGGTGTTTCCATTTTCTCCCCTCCCATTCTTTATATTCATTAGAATTAAAACAACAACAACAATTGCTTCTGGGACCAAAAGATGGCATAATGGTTATGTCACTGGTCTCACATGTAGTGGACCACGGTTCAAGTCCAAGACCCAATGACTTAAACTTACACCAGGTGTGTGTGTATGTGCGCACACGTTTAAAACTTACACCAGGTGTGTGTGTGTGTGCGCACACGCGTGCCCGAGATTCTTAGAGGAGAATGGAGGAGAAGGGATTGCAGCATGACCATCTCCCCAGAGGGTGCTTTCTCGCTTTCCTATCTCTCTGGCAAGTGCACGTGCCCTATAGCAAAAATCTCTCAAAAAAAGAAAAAAATGGCCTCCTCCTTCCTTTTAATTGTAGTATTTCAAGTATACAAAAAAGAGTAAATATGATGAACATCTTGTACTGTTCAAAGAAATGAAACATTACAAATAAAAATGAAGGCCCCTCTCCAATCTAAATCTTTCAACTCTCCACAAGTAACTATTATCCTAAATGTGGTACTCCTCATTGCTATGCATTTTTTACTACATATGTAAGAATACATATGTATGTACATACTTATAAACAATATAGTATTTGTTTACATGTTAAGATTTAGACAAATGGGGGCTGAATAATGACATGGAAGTACAATGTGATGCTCTACATGGCTGACTCATATTTGAAGGTTCCAAGTTTACATGTGGACACTTCCCTGAGTATGCCAGTCATGTTTATGCCCATGATCCAGGGGTGGCAGGGGTTGGATGGCAGTGCCAGGACCCTGTTGGGGACGTTGTCTGTCTGTCTCAGATTTAAGAAAACAAGAAACAAATAAACTACAAAAAGTTTTAGATAATGTCATGTCCCTGTTTTCTTGTCTGTTTTATAGGACACAACTTTTGAGATTTATCCACATTGACAGCCATAACTCGTCACTCGTTTCACTTCTGTATAGTACTGTGTTCATGAAGAGTCTACAATTCATCTACACTCTTCTTATGGTCTTTTGGCTGCTTATAATTTTTTGCTATTACATAAATAAGAAAATTCCAGTGTGATCATACATTGCATAATGATGTTTTGGTCAATGACATACTACACATATCAATACAATGGTGGTCCCATAAGATTATAATGGAGCTGAGAAATTTCTATCACTTACTGATGCTGTAGCTGTCGTGATGCTGTAGAACAATGAATTACACATCTGTGGCTATGTTGGCATAAACAAATCTACTGTGTTGTCTGTCACATAAAGGTATAACACATAACACTTGAAAATGATAATGACTTACTGATTTATGTATATATTTACTATACTTTTTATCATTATTTAAGTATATTCCTTCAACTTATAAAAAAAAGTGCTGTAAAACAGTATGCTTGCTACATTGGCATTAACTGTCTACCATGCTTCTGGATTGCATCACTGCCTCTTGTGTTTGATTTAATCTCTTATTGCTTTGTTCAAAATGGCCCTTCTAGTGGACCAGATGGAAAGGAAGAAGAAAGTAATACTGATGATCCTAATCCAATGAAGGTCAAGGCTAATTTGTGTGGTAACAAACAAGTTTAAAAAATAAACAAAAATAAATGTTAAAATGGGGGCTAGCAGGTGGCGTGGTGGTTAAAGTGCTGGAAACTCCCACATGGTTGACCACGGTTCGAATCCTGGACTTGTGGCTTGCTTTCTCACTTACCTAACTCTCTCTCTCTGGCCAAACTGAAACAAATGAATGAATTAAAAAAAATAATTCTTTAAAAAACAATGTTAAAATAGAAAAAAGCTGGTTCAGTCATGGTGGAGTGCTGCTAACACGCTGCTTCTCAGAGGCTGAAGCCATATCGAAAGCTTGGGTTCAATTCCAGGCACGAACTCAACAGGCCAAACGTGGTACACCTGTTGTCCTGACCGACAGGCCAGAGCAGGAGGATCATGACATGGTGAAAACCTGTCAAAAATCAATCTCTCGGGAACCAGCAGTTAGCGTAATGGCTGTGTCGCTGGACTCCCACATAGTCGACCGCGGTTCGTGTCCCGGACCCAGTGGCTTAAAACTCACGCCGGGCACGTGTGCGTGCGTGCCCAAGATCCCGAGAGGAGAATGGAGGAGAAGGGATTGCGGTGTGACCATCCCCCCTGGGGGGTGATTTCTCGCTTTCTGTCTCTATGTCTCTCTCTGTCTGTCTGGCGAGCGCACGCGCCCTACAGTGAAAATCTCTCCAAAAACAAAAAAAAAATCAATCTCTCACTTTTCACTCTCTGTCATAAAATAGAAATTGAAAAAGCTTATAGAGGGACCAGCAGTTAGTGTCTAGGCTATGTCGCTGGACTCCCATGTAGTTGACCACAGTTTGAGTCCCAGACCCAGTAGCTTAAACTCACGCCATGCGTGTGTGTGTGTGCATGCCCAAGATCCCAAGAGGAGAAAGGAAAAGAAGGGATTGCAGTGTGGCCATCCCCCCTGGGGGTAATTTCTCGCTTTCTGCCACTCCGTCTTTCTCTGTCTTTCCGGTGAGCGCACGCGCCCTATAGCAAAAACCTTTCCAAAACAAAACAAAACAAAAAAAAAAAGAGAAAAAGCTTATAGTAGAGATAAAAAGAAAGAAAATATTTTTGTGTAGATTTCTAGTGTATATTCTAAGTGTTTATTATGAAAGAGTCAAAACATTAAAAAAATTAAAGTTTATAAAGTAAAGAAGTATAGAGTAGGCTAAAATTAATTTATTATTGAAGAAAATTTTAAAAATAAATTTAGTATAGCCTAAGTGTAGAGTGTTTATCAAGTCCACAGTACTGTACAACCACTATAGCTAGGTCATATTATACATGATTTTGTTAATACCATGCATCTATTATTTTGAAAATAGTCATCCACTAAGGTACCTAAGTCTTCCAAATATTGACATTTTCATTATATATATATATATAATCACATTCAGAACTTCCACTGGTCTCAGTAGAAAGGTCCTCGGTACTAGGAATGTGATAAGCTAAGTTCCAAAATGCTGATTTTCACATGAATGTTCAGGTTTTATCATTGGCAACAAATATGGTAAGTTGTTTTCCTTGAAGTGACAGGTTTCCGGCCAAATATCAATGTCTGAATAACTAGCGTTTGCCAGTTTTTGTTTTTGTTTTTTTTAATTGCCAGGGGCATGTGCGCTTACCCAGTGGGGTGTGGCCATGCTGCAATCTCTTCTTCTCCATTGCTCCATCCTGTTGGGATTTGGGGCAAGAATGTACACACACCTTGAATATTTTTAAGCCACTAGGGCTGTGACCCAAAACCACAATTGGCTATGTGGGACTCGATTCCCTTAACTACTAGGTCATGGGCTGGCCTGTCAGTTGTTCTTTCACATAAAAATGATATCTCATCAAAAGGCAGTTACTAGGGCTGGCAGGTGGCATGGTGGTTTGCTTTCTCTCTTTCTTTCTGGTCAAATAATAACAAAAAATAAAATTAAACAAAGTATTTTTTTTAAAGTATTTATTTAATTTTATTTATTCATTCATTTATTTTAATTTGACCAGAGAGAGACAAAGAGAAAGAGAGAGAAAAAATGAGAAAGCAAGCCACCACGTCCAGGACTCGGATCATGGTCAGCCATGTGGGAGTGTCCACCACCTTAACCACCATGCCACCGGCCAGCCCCTAGACAGACTTTAATGGAATATCTACAGAAATTTAAAAGGAAGCCCAGAAGATTATGTAACTATGTATCTTAGGTCAAAGAGCTTTAGCTTAAAATGTTCTAAACTTCATGTACCTGCTTTTTAAATCATAATTAGTTTCGTATGATTTTTATTTAAACCAATTTGCTACTATAGTTTAGATAATGGCTTATCTTCTTAAGGTTCATGTTTTGAAATTCAGCCCCCAGTGTAATAGTGCTGGGAGATGGTGACAATTTTCAGAGGCTGAACCCTTGTGGGCAGTGACTGGATCACGAAGGCATCACTCTTATGAATGGATTAATGGCATCTCATAAGACCCAGTGAGTTCTAATTCTCACTGGAAGAGTTACCTTTCTTGAGAGGGTGTTGTTATGAAAGGAATATTGCTGCACCCAGGTCTCTCTCTTACTCTGCATGCACCTACTATCTTTTGTGCTTCTGTAAGCCATGCTGTGATGCTGGCTGCTGCCTCTGGACTTTCCAGCCACTGGAATCATGAGTCAAATACATTTCTATTTTGGACCTACTTGTAGTCTAGTAACTAAGGCTGCTGGATCTCACATGGCCAACCATCAGTTATAGTTCGAAGCACAACAGCCTGAAAAAGCATGCCAGGCACATGTGCATAAATGTCAGAAATCCCAATAGAATGTAGTAATGGAGAAGGAACTGTAACAAGACCACCCCTCAGGGGTGGTGCTTTCTTCATCTTTCCTCTCTCTTTAGAGAGTACATGCACCCTCTGGCAAATAAAAAATAAATAAATTAAAAAATCCAAAATGAAACAAAAACTATTCTTTATAAAACATCTAGTCTCAGGTATTTCTATAAGCAATGCAATAATGGATTAAAACATTGGCCAAGAAATCTTTGGAGAACAAACAGATGAAAGAGGGTCAAAATAATCTCCAGAACACCAATCTGGAACAAATACAGACCAGCTATTTCCTACCTTAGAGCCACTCGATACTTTTGCCCCAATTTTTCAATTTCAGCCATTACACAGTCAGTTATACAAGGGATACCTGCCAAGGGGGGAAAAATATATATATATATACATATATACACACACACATATATAAATAACAGAACTTGAAGGAAAAAATTCTTTCGCAATTACATCCAGACCTAGAATTCTGAAATGTCGGTACAATAAGCACAATGAAATAAGTAAGAGGAGATAAAGAACTATAGAAGAAGTCCTAGATATAAAAAAACTAGGGAGGGACCAACAGTTGGCATAATGGCTATGTCACTGGACTCCCATGTAGTTGACCATGGTTCGAACCCTAGAGTTGGTGGCTTGAACTCGTGCTGGGTGCATGTGCGTGCATGCTCAAGATCCCGAGAGGAGGGACCAGCAGCTAGCGTAATGGCTATGTTGCTGGACTCCCATGTTGTCAACTGTGGTTCAAGTCCCAGACCCGGTGGCTTAAAACTCACTCCGGGCGCGTGTGTGTGGGTGCCCAAGATCCCGAGAGGAGAATGGAGAAGGGACTGTGGCATGGCCATCCCCCCTGGGGGGTGATTTCTCCCTTTCTGTCTCTCTTTTGAGTCCTGGACCCGGTGGCTTAAACTCACTCTGGGCACGTGTGTGTGCATGCCCAAGATCCCGAGAGGAGAATGGAGGAGAAAGGGATTGGGGCATGGCCATCTCCCTGGGGGGATGATTTCTCACTTTCTGTCTTTCTCTCTCTTTCTGGCGAGCACACGGGCCCTATAGCAAAAATCTCTCCAAAAAGGAAAAATAAAATAACTAGGGAACTGCCCTAACCCTACATCACAGATTTCAAAAAGTATCTGTCATAATTAAACATATCTGGAAAAAAAGAACTAAGCTGTGTGTTGTCATTATGTTTATATTAAAATATGTTCTAGATAGAAAACATTTTTAATGTGAACCAAAATAAAAAAAAAAAGAGGGAGAAAAATTAACCAGAAATATAAATTTGATCATATAAAAATAAACATTTTGGGGGCCAGTAGGTAGTGTGGTGGTTAAGGGCACTGGACTCCCACATGGCCGACCATGGTTGGAGTCTTGGACCTGGCAGCTTGGTTTCTCTCTCTCTCTCGCTCTGACCCTCTTTGGTCAAATGAAAGTAAATAAATAAATTTAAATAAAATTCTTCTTAAAAATAAAAATTTTTTGTGTTTGATAACTATCAAACAAAAAGTAATAAAGTAAAAAAATTAACTCAAAAAATTTCTACACATTTGTGTAAGGGCTAACTTCCTTAACATACAAAGAACTTATAATAATAGCTTATAATTGGGGCCAGCAAGTGGCATGGTGGTTCAAGGCGCTGGACTCCCACATGCCCGACCACGGTTCAAGTCTCGGACCTGATGGTTTGCTTTCTCACTTCCTCTCTCTCTCTCTGTCTCTCTCTGATCAAACTGGAAAATAATAATGATAATAATAAATAAAGTTAAATAAAATAATTGTTAAAAAAATAATAATAGCTTATAATTATGTGCTATTTTCGAGACACTGTGCTCAATACTTTGTAAGGATTATCTTTACAATAAGCCCCATCAGGTAGCATGGATGTAACTGTTACTGTCATCCCTCTTATTTTTTTTTAAAAGAATTATTTTTATTTAATTTTATTTATTCGTTCATTTTATTTTTTAATTTGACCAGAGAGAGACACAGAGAGAGAGAGAGAGGGAAAGTAAGAAACCAAACTGCCAGGTCCAGGACTCGAATCGTGGTTGGCCATGTGGGAGTGTCCAGTGCCTTAACTACTACATCAACTGCTGGTCCCCTGTCATCTCTATCTTATACATGAGGAATCTGAGGTACAAAGAAATAATTGAATAGCAAATGGTGAAACTAAGATTTTTTTAAAAAAATTTATTCATTTTTTTTCCCGTGAGAGAGGGAGATTGAGGAACAGACAGAAAGCCCCCAATAGGGTCTTCATGCTGCAATCCTATCCCAGCCCCAGCAAGCCAGGATCAGAGGCACAACTGTGTGCCCCGTGTGCACAGGCAGACTTCAGGACACAAACTCAGAACCTTCCCACATGACTTCAGTGTCTCAGAGATCCATTGCTATTGGCCACTAAAACCAAGATTTGAACTGAGTCTATTAGGCTATAGAATGGGATTTTTTTTTTTTTTTTTTTTTAAAGGTTTTTTTTTTAAGGGGTTTTTTAGAGAGATTTTTGCTATAGGGTATGTCCACTTGCTGGAGAGACAGAGAGATAGCGAGAAATCACCCCCCACCCCAGGGACGATGGCCACGCTGTAATCCCTTCTCCTCTACTTTCCTCTTGGGATTTTGGGCATGTATGCACATGTGCCTGGCGAGAGTTTTAAGCCACCGGGTCTAGGACTTGAACCACAGTCGACAATGCGAGAGTCCAGTGACATAACCATTACTCCATCTGCTGGCTCCTAGACTGGGATCTTAACCACCATGTTATATTTCAGGTCATAGAAGAGGACATAAAATGGTTCACGACCACAGAGATGCTCAATCTCAGTCTTACTTACAGGTTAACAAGCAGTGTACAGATGCTCAAACTCAGTCCTACTTGGAGATATAATAAAGCCAAAATTTTCTAGTAAGTAGCATGGCAAGATTGAACAGATGAGAATACCCAAAACTGAGGAAACAGGCCTTCTCATGTTAAGTGTGTAGGTGTATAAAGTGGCGTAACTATTTGAGAGCATTTGAAATGAAATAGCTATTAAAATTAAAGGTGCCAGATGGTAGTGCAATGGTAATACAATATTCTGTGAGACTGACCCACATGGGAAGGTTCTCGGTCAGTATCTGAAGACCTCCCTGAACAAAATGGGCACATGCGTGCCCAGGGTCCAGGGCTGGCTGAAGCTGAGGGTAGATCATGGCAGAGAGACCCTGTTGGGGTGCCTGTCTCTCCTGTGCATAGAATAAACTTAAAAAAGATTAGTAATACACATGTTCCTTGATATTGTAATATTGCTTCTAGAAATATATATCTTAATAAAAAACTCACACCCTTTGATACAGACCTATTCAAAGTTCTTCACTACCACCTTGTTTATAAAAATGTAAAAATAGAAATAACCCAAATGTCTAATAGGAGATTGGGCTTGAAAAACTATATATTTAAAGCATAGAATACTACATTTAAAAAAAAAAAGAATGAGGTCCATCTACAAAAATTTTCAAGACATATTATTCAATTAAATAAAAAATAGATAACTAAAATGTGATTTGGCTATATAATTGAATCCAGAATTCTAAAACAGAAAATTTTCCTCCCATGTTCAAAATTGATGTTCATATGGTGGCCAAATTACTGTATTTTCAGAGCTATGAAGTTTAATTATTCCCAGTAGAGTTTGCATTGTAATTCTATTCATTAAAAAAGGTCATTGCTATAGTGACCATTACAAACTGAATAGTCATCAATTCAGTTAATAAAATCTCCACCTTTGTCTTTTAATATACATAGATAAATGTGATTATCATATACAAATGTCACAGAAATGTTTGATACTCACACTTGGCATACAGACAGTCCATCATCGACTGCACTAAGTCCAGTTTGGCTTTAATGGAAAAGTTGATAAAGTTGGTATCAACCAGGATGTGGTAAGGTGGACCCAGCTGTGTATTATATTGAAAGAATAAGCAGGAATTGTGTTGGGGGCTGAAAAAAAGAAAAAGAAAACAAGAACACAAAGTAAAATATACACTGATACTTTGATATCAACAAAAATAAAAAGTATCTGCTTGGAGCAGCTGTATAGATTAAGTTGTTTATCCTTGCTCATTGGAAATAAACCTTGAAAATGCAAGGAAGGAAGTAACAGTGTGTATGTGTTTAAGTTTTGGTATAGGGTGCCTGTGCTCTCTAGAAAGGGAGAGAGGCAAAGTGAGAAATCACCCTCCAGAGGGATGGCCACACCAGAATTCCTTCTCTTCTACTCTCCTCTCAGGATTTTGGCATATGCACGTCATGTGACCAGAATGTTTCTTAAGCTGCCAGGTCTGGAACTCAAATGGGTAGTTGGCGACGTAGGATCTAGTTGCCTTAACCACCACGCCATCGGTTGGCCCAGTAACAGTCTTATCTTAATCTCAGGTCCATTAGTACTCATCTCTACAACATTAGAAAAGCAAGTCTTCACCCAGTTCTTCCAATAGCAGGAGTAAAACCACCGTGGCCACAGGGCAGTAGAGTATAGCTATCATGTAAATATGACACCATAGCAAGTTTACCTTCTCGGAGGTTCCTAAATGGTTGTGTTGAATGTGAAACAGAACAGTTTGTTCAGTGTTAGAATTACATAGTACAGCAGAGCCTGTTTCTCATTTAAGAGCCCAAGATGTCCGGGCTATATCGTATGACAAAGATTCCAAATGCTACTTCACATGTGGACCAGAATTCACCTGTGATGATATATCCATCACTAATCCTGGGCAAGAGAAAAATAAGGAAATATGCTGAGAATTTAATAAAACTAAATGTATTTATGTAAAAGGAATGATCTTTATTCTGAAATTATCCTCATTAATAGTCTCTCGCTTAGGGTATGCTGGTGTGTTAAACAATGGCAGTAATTTCTTTTAAAAGATTTTTAGCAGGGCCAGAAGGTGGCGTAGCGGTTAAGGTGCTGGATTCCCACATGGCCAACAGAGGTTTGAACCCTGGACCTGGTGGCTTTAAACTCATGCCAGGCATGTGTGTACGTATGCCCAAAATCCCAACAGAAGAATGAAGAAGGGAGTGCGACATGGCCATCACTTCTGGTGGGGTGGTTTCTCACTTTCTGTCTCACTCTGCTTCTCTGGTGAGTGCATGCACTCCATGGCAAAACTTTCTCTTAAAAAAAAAAAAAAAAGATTTTTAGCAGAGGTCACCCCATGGTGTAGTGGTTAAGGTGGCTGGATCCCACACAGACAACTGTACAGTTCAAGTCCCAGACCCAGAGTGGCTTGAGAAACATGCTGAGCACACGCGCATGCCCCAAATCCTGAAAACAGAGAAATGGAGAAGGGGTTGCTGTGTGACCACTCCCCATGGAGGTGATTTCTCACTTTCTTTCTCTGGCAAGTGCACACATCCTTAGGCAAAAATAAAGATTCTTGGGAAAGAAAAAGATTAATAATCCTAGAGTATAGTCCCAGAATTTTTCTTTTTTCAAAGGCTGGAATGGGAATTGAATCTGGGTGTCCCATGTGGCATCAGTCTCCAGAGTAGAAGTGCACATAGTTCATACCACCACATGAATGTGACCACACATGGGCCTCTTCTGTTTAAAGACAGGGGTTCACTGTTAAAACCCTCTTGCCTCAGCCTTCCTAGTAGCTGGAACCACTGGCACATGTCATCAAATCTAGCTCTTTCAGACAGGATCTTGCTACATTGCCTAGGCCAGCCCGGGGGGTTGTGGTCCTCTGCTTCAGCCTCCTGGAGCTGCTGGGATTACAGCCACAGACCACTGTGTTTGACCTTTAGGTTGGACTGAAAACAGCAAGGCTCTCCTTCCCATATGTTCTCAGCCTACAGAGAGCAGTGTTTTAGGAGCATGTGCCGCTAAAGCTGTATAATCCCAAGTTGGAGGAAATTTTACTGTCCTATGAAATCCAAAAACCTTCAACCCATTGGAATCAGTGTATGCTCATCAATTCCAGTTTCATGGACATAAGCACCAGATTTACTAACAAACGACTGAGCAAATCAGCTCATGAAAAGCCTGGGTTTCTATGCCCACATGTTTTTAAAATGTGCCTTCTAATTTTAAAAGAAAAACGGAAATTTTCTGTTACTCACACGTCTCTTTCCTTCAGCGTGCTAGGATCTTTCTTTTCTTTCTTTTTAGGTTTTAATCTATCCTTTTCTTTACTGGGGAAAAAAAAAAGTAAATTAAATCCAGAGGAGAAGGAAAACCTGTAGCAGTTATAATCTCATTCAAACACCCAAAGTTCCTTTTTTTATTTTTGGTCTTCAGAGGAAATCACATAGGTATCAAAAATATTCAGTAAAGCCAATAACCCGTAACAATTGTTACAAGGTAAATAAATGTTGATTATACAATCATTTCTTTCTTAGTCAAAAGCTCTATTAAAGATCAAACTCTACTTCCTAGTAGCAGGTAAAAAGACTAGATCAAACTCTACTTCCTAGTAGCAGGTAAGAAGTCTTTTGACATTTATCTTCTAAGGACTAAGACATTTGAACAGGAGGGTAAAACAATTCTATTTCTCTTATGAAGGGCTACAATGTAACAATATACCTACAAAATTTAACTCTTGTTTAGAAAGAATATACTACTAACAGGGTGTCATTTCTAAGAATTACACAATAAATCCATACTGAAGGCTGAACAGGATAATTCTGAAGGCTCTAAACGACCATTCTCTTATTTTCTTTTTCTTCTTTTATTAATTTAATTTTATTTTTTTGGAGAGATTTTCGCTATAGGGCGAATACGCTCACCAGACAGAGACATAGAGACAGAGAGCGAGAAATCAACCCCCAGGGGGGATGGTCACGCCGCAATCCCTTCTCCTCCATTCTCCTCTCGGGATCTTGGGCACGCACGCACATGCGCCCAGCGTGAGTTTTAAGCCACCGGATCCGGGACACGAAACGCGGTTGACTACGTGGGAGTCCAGCGACAAAGCTAACTGCTGGTTCCCACTATTCTCTTATTCTGAGACAGTCCCTATTTAATTACTTCAGCCATTCTTCACTGAAGCAGAGAAGCTGTTAAAGCCCTTTTTATGTCATTCCACTTGATTCTTCTATAGTGATCTGGATTTAGAAAAAGGAGACTGCTGGAAATTTTCCCATTCTCTCGAAAAAAAAAAAAAATGACTGTCAGTCTCTTATCTCACTATCTTTCAACAAGGTCAACAAATATTTCCCTCCCTGGGGAACGTATTAGTATAATGGCAAAAACATGCAGGTAATCATATGCACCCCACAGAACTGTTACAACGTTTAAATGTGACGTGCAAGGTAAAGTATTCAACAGTAAGGGAACAAAGTGAACACTTGCGTAGTTTTAATTAATTCCCATCGCTTTTTCGAAAGACGCAACAATATTAAAAGTAAAAACAAAACAAAACAAAACAAAACAAAAACCCAACAACTTGAACTACTTATCCTCTCGTGACTCTCATATCTCTGAGTAGTCGAAGAACCCCGCTGATTTCCGGACACTCACAGCCTCTGATCTCTGAGACTGAGCATTCGCTTCATGGTCGCATACTTTCTCGTTTTCTTTTGTTTCCCCTTGAGACAGAAATTTTAGAATTCACAGAGAGAGAAATACATAACATATTAAGTCGCTTTTTTGCTCTTGTCCACTCCCTGCCCTTCTTCCCTCAAACCCCCAGCCCACTCCCTGAAGCATACCAGACACTGCCCAAAGCACGTTAAGAGCCAACATCAGAATGAAAATAATCAAGGGGAAAGTGGAGGGAACTTGGCCAAGGGCTGACTCCCTCCCTCTCTCCCCACAGAGGGATCTGAAAAGCGATTCCTTTCGCTAAGTCTCTCACCATGCTCACGCCACACTCAGGTTTCTTCCGGAATCACCAGCAGCGCGACGCTTTTACGTCATTCACACACTGCTTCCGGCAAAGGCTAGCCCGGAAGCGGAAACTGCTTCGAGAAACGGAAAAAAATCCCTTAGCCGGTTGCCGGCCGCGGCAGAGACCCATACGGGGGTCTCTCGGGAGAGGATTGAGCCCTGGGCTTCTGCTAGGAACTGCCGCCGCTCCCGGGGCAGCGGAGCCGGGTCTTCGCCGCGCTGCCACCTCCAGCTCAGGTAACGTTTCTGTTCAGCCCGAGGCAGAGCCCAGGGACCTGCCTGCACCAGAGTCCGGGGAAAGGGAGGACAAGGGTGTGAAGGGGCCGGGATCCTCGGGTTGCCCAGTAGTTTGGGGAACTTCATCCCCCAGCGCTGGAGCATCCGTCTCCGCCATCCAGCCGTAAATCTCTGGTTCCTGTTTGGTTCTACCCGGCATGGTGCTTCGTGCAGCTCTGCGGACGATTCACCGCCGGTAAATGCTTGTATTCGTTTGGGTGAAGAGAGAGATGAAGCAGTATTTGGGGGTCTTCAGGCTATCACTGAAAGATTGGAGCATGAGCTTGCATATGTTATTGATTATCAAGCCAGAAAAATGGTAGGAAACAATGGGCATTTATTGTGAAGCTTCGGCCAGTCGTCTTAAGGGAAAAGGGAAAATTTGTGCAAACAAGAAGAGATTCCGTTTTTGTGTGTGTGTGTGTGTACCTGCCGTGTAGTCCAGCGATTCTTAATCTTTTGGAAATCACGCACCTCTTGAAAGTTTCTAGAAAGGCAGGGACTAATTCTTTAAAATCATGAAAACGGTTTAATCTGTCATACAATTTATGAAACTCCTAGACTCTGAAGCACATCCGTGGATCCTCTAGGCGTCTGTAAAATTTCAGATTAAGAACCCCTACCCCTTGTACTGTACTTGGCACTTTCTTCATATTACCTTTGATCTTCACAATAATGTAAGTACCTTCATTTACACGTAGGGAAGGTGAGGCCCAGACTTTGTTCAGGGGTCTGTGTGATCCAGAAGCCTGTACTTTTTTTTTTTTTTAAAGAATTATTTAATTTCACTACTACTTTTACTTATTATTATTTAATTTACTATAGGACATGTGCAATCACCAGAGAGAGACAAGGAGAGAAGTTGTGAGAAAGCAAGGTGCCAGGCTTGGGACTTGAGCCATGGGGGGGCCATGTGAGAGTCTAACCCCTTAACCACCACACCACCTGCTGGCCCTCCTGTTCCTTTTGATTGTAGGATGCTGTCACAGTGTTTGGAAGCTAAAAAAGTTATTGAAAGTGACCATTGTTTAACTCTTCCTATGAAATATAGTGTATTGGTTATGTGAATTTTGGAGTCTGACTGATGGTTAAAAATCTGCTGTGGCCAGGGAACCAGCAGTTAGCGTAATGGCTATATCGCTGGACTCCCACGTAGTTGACCACAGTTCGCGTCCCGGACCCGGTGGCTTAAAACTCACAGGCGCGTGTGTGTGCGTGCATGCCCAAGATCCCAAGAGGAGAATGGAGAAGAAGGGATTGCGGCGTGACCATCCCTCCCTGGGGGGTGATTTTTCGCTTTCTGTCTCTATGTCTCTCTCTGTCTGTCTGGCGAACGTATGTGCCCTATAGCGAAAATCTCTCCCCCCAAAAAAATCTGCTGTTGGCCAGGTGATGGCATGGTGGTTAAGGTGGCTGGATCCCACATGGTCAACTACACAGTTTAAATCCCAGACCTGGCAACTTGGAAAACACACCAGGTGCATGTCAGTGTGTGCCCCATATCCTGAGGGTGGAAGAGAAGGGATCTCAGCTTGGCCCTTCTCCTTGGGGTGGGGGAAAGAATTTTTCACTTTCTCTCTCTCTCTCTCTCTCTGCCCTTCTGACTACCTTGTGACATTGGGCAAGTTAATACGTGCCTCAGTTTCTTCATTTGTAAAGTGAACATAATCATAATTTACTTGTCTTACATGGATATTATTAGGACTTGTGTTGTCATACTGATAAAATACGAAGTTCATAGAAGAGTGCCTAACACAAAGTACATAATCCCTTTAAGTGTTTTCTATTGTTATCATTGTGTATCTTCCAACTTAGAATTTGTCTGTGGTAGAGTTGGAATTGTATGCCAGTTGTATTTTACTATAGTTGGACTGTTTTGGAACTTGAGTGGTAAGCTTGCAAACTGAGTTTTCAGGTCCTTAAAAGCTCAATGCAGAGTGATTTCATCTGTTGGTTTGGGTGTAGACACAGTGCTCTTCCTGTACTGTGTCATGCTGCTTTTTCTTTAGGCATGCATGCATGTAGATTTGCAGTGCGCATGACTGTAGACTGAATTGCTTGATGTTGAAGTAGTTAGTACACATATTGTATGTACTTCCTCATTTACCCCATCTGAGGTCACTGGAAGTTCCTAGTCTTTCTGAAACACCTTATCTCTTCCTCCAAGCTTCGTGGGTAAAACTAACATTGGGCCCTTTTTCAGTGCATTAAAACTTTTGGTGGTTCAGGAATAAACTTCTTTTTTTTAAAGAATGATTTATTTATTCCATTTGTTATTGTTATTTTTTAATTTGACCAGAGAGAGAGAGAAAGGGAAAGCAAGAAAGCAAGCTGCCAGGTCTGGGACTCGAACCATGGTTGGCCATGTGGGAATCCAGCACCCTTATCCACTATGCCACCTGCTGGCCTGAGTAATAAGCTTCTAACTATAAGGCCAGTTTTTTGTTTTGTTGTTTTAAAATTTGGAGGCTAATTAGTATTATATATAGGCTCAGAGGGAAAATTGCATATTATTAAATAGTAATCTCCATTTTATTTATTTTTTTAAGAATTATTTTATTTAACTGTATTTATTTACTTATCCACTTTAATTTGACCAAAAAGGGACAGAATGAGAGAGAGAGAGAAAGAAAGAGAAAGCAAGCCACCAGGTCCAGGACTTGAACCATGGTCATCCATGTGGGGAATTCAGTGCCCCCAAACACCATGCCATCTGCCGGCCCCTGTAATTTGCATTTTAATTTTGGCACTGACAGAAAAACACTCCTGGTAACATGGGCCCTGAAATTTGGAATCCATGAACAATAATAAATTCTTTTAGGTTTTAGTATAGAATGTGTGCACTTGCCAGAGAGAGACAGAGATAGAGATAGAGAAAGAGAGAAGGCATCCCCAAGGGGATGAACTAGCTGCAATCCTTTCACCTCCATTCTTCCCTCAGGATTTTGGGTGCACACTCATGTACCCAGCATGTTTTTCAGGCTGCCAGGCATGGGACTTCCAGCCACTTCAACCACCATGCCACTAGCTGGCCCCAAGTTCTTTTAAAGAAATACAGTTTGTAATTTCTGAGAATTTTCTGATCTCCTTGATTGTTACTACTTGATAAGGAGCTAACCTAGTGTGGGAACACCATGGGGGCATGAGAATATACTTAAAAAAAAATAAGGGTTTTTGTTGTTGTTGCATCGTAATTTTTATTGCAGTCTAAGAGTCTTATAAACAAACTAAAGTACTCAGATACTCTATAATGTTCTTTGAAGGGTAGAGAAAGAGGGGAGGTGGTGTTGATTTGTGTTGGATAAGAACAGAAAATAATTGCTTTTGGGTACATAGTTGTGAGGAAAATAAGTTATTTTAGTCCTTCTCAGCAGTCAAGAGGATTGTTCTGTATTTTTCTGCAGTCTTGAAGAAAAAGAATTGGTTAAGCCATTGGACCCACGTTTAAGCACATAATTGGGCTTGGACTTCATTCCATTCACTAATTGGTCTAACTTACTAATTTAAGTTGTTAACAAATTTCTTTATAAAATTATTATGGATAATGAAAGGTTTCTTAAAGAACAGCTTGTCTTTCAATGTTCAGAAGTATAGGTAGACTCACTTTTTTTTTTTTTTGAGAGATTTTCACTGTAGGGCGCGTGCGCTCGCCAGACAGACAGAGAGAGACATAGAGACAGAAAGCGAGAAATCACCCCCCAGGGGGAATGGTCACGCCGCAATCCCTTCTCCTCCATTCTCCTCTTGGGATCTTGGGCACGCACGCACACGCGCCCGGCGTGAGTTTTAAGCCACCGGGTCCGGGACACGAACCGCGGTCGACTACGTGGGAGTCCAGCGACATAGCCATTACGCTAACTGCTGGTTCCCAGGGTCAGAGGATTCTTGTGTAATATTTAGTATTATAAATATGCCAGGACCAGCAGATGGCATAATGATTATGTTGCTTGACTCCCATAGAGCCAACTGCGGTTTGAGTCCTGGACCCGGCAGCTTAAAAACTCAGGCCAGGCGTGTGTGTATGCGCAACCAAAATCCAGAGAGGAGAATGGAGAAGAAAGGATTGCGGCGAGGCCATTTTCCCCTGGGGGTTGACTTCTCGCTTTTTGTCTGTCTCTCTGGTGAGCGCATGTGCCCTATAGCAAAAAAATCTCTATTAAAAAAAAAAAACTATAAATATACCATATAACAAATATGATTTTGTGATCTTAGTGGATTCTAGTGCTGTATAGATCATCTTACTTTTTACATGGCTTTAGCCATTAACTAACTTAGACTTAAGTTTCAAGTTTCAGTTATTTTTCTTTGGTTTCTTTTTAAAGGGTTCATAAGTGCTTAGCCTTCGCTAATATTCTTTTGGATAGTACTTTGCAAACTTTCAGGGTCATTTAACCTTGCAGTTTGTGTGTGTTTGTGTACATATTGTTTGCGTATCATGCCGTGTCATGCCTGGCGCTTGGTAGGGTGTTATATCACCATGATGATGTTTCCTGATGGGACTCGAAGCCTGTTCTACAAAATAGGGTCTAATACAGAGAGGTCAGTTATTAGTTTAGTTATTAAAAACTAAAAAGTCATGGTAAATGTTGTGTTTTGTCATTTAGTCTGAATTGAATAGTACCATATGATTTGATACGATCTTTTGTTTGAATTGTCAAGGAATTTGATCATGTTTTTCAGAATTTACAGCTAAAGCATTCATTTCAGTTCAGTTTGCCTGTTAGTATTAAGATGCTAATAATCAATATTTGTTAATTGTATTTTAAAAAATTATTTAACTTTATCCATTTTAAAAATTTGACCAGGGAGGGACAGAGTGAGGGAGAGAGAGAGGGAAAGTGGTAATCCAGCATCCTTAATCACCACGCCACCTGCTAGCTCCTTTAATTGTATTTTCTACATTGTACTTTTTGACTTCAGAGCAGATAAAGGTAATAAGAATATATAAAATATATTTTCTG